ATCACTGAAGCAATGAGCATGAACTGAGCAAACTCAGGGAGGCAGTGAAGGACAGGAAGGCCTGGCGCAATATGGTTCATGGGGTCACGAAGAGTCGGACACGACTTAACGACTAAACAACAACATATCCATTGATTCACATTGCACCAAATAGGTATGCTTATGTCATTAGAAGAACAGAGGTGTGCAACTTGAAATCCAGGTCTTCAAAATCTTTGGTGCTGTACCCTAAACCCCTCAAAAGTCAGAGGATTATAATTTTCAATCTGACATTTTTTGCCTCAGAACAGCAGGATTCTCAACACTGATTTTCAACAACAAGTGTTAAGAGAAGCTCTGAGGACCATAAAAAACTTGTGGGGCTGAATGACCTTCAGGTTGCACATTGCCCAACTCTAGTGCAAAAGATTGTTTTCTCTTGTTTCCAACTGAGAATCCTCTCAGCTCAGTGCCCATAGCACGTTTTAGAAATTCCCTCAGTCAATCCTATTCAGTGGGGCTTCTTCCAAAGAAATATGGCTAAGATTTCAGGGTTGAGTAATAAAACAACTTTTCTTTTTTAAAAAAAATATATTGTATTACTTCAAGTTATTTTCAGCTATATATCTTATCCATGTTTGACCTGTGTCCTGAGATAGCATTGACTGCACTCTTGGATGACCTCTGGTGGGAGTGGGATGGGGGCAGTGCTTCCATCCTTGCTGTTCTTGACCTCTCGGCAGCCTTCGATACCATTGATCATGGTATCCTTCTGGACCGGCTTTGGGAGTTGGGGGTGGGTGACACTGTGTTGTGCCTGTTCTCTTCCTTCCTCCAGGGTCAGTTCCAGTCGGTGTTGGTAGGAGGGGAGCGGTCCAATCCATGGCCCCTATTGGGTGGGGTACCACAGGGCCCGGTTCTCTCACCCTTCTTATTTAACATCTACATGAGGCCACTGGGGTGACAGTTCGGGGTGAGGTATCAGTTTTATATCTCTTCCTCAGGCTGTCTGAGTGATGCTGTGGATGTCCTATCTCAGTGCCTGGAAGCTGTAGGGGCCCGTATGGGGCGCAATGGGCTTCAGCTCAACCCAAGCAAGACTGAGTGGCTTTGGGTGTTTGGGCCTCCCAGTACTAAGGTTCTTCCATCTTTGATTCTGGGTGGGTGGTTCTGCCACAGACAAATCTGGTGCACAATCTGGGGTCCTCATGGGCTCATGGCTCCTGCTGGAAGAGCTGGTGGCAGCCATGGCTATGAGGGCCTTTGCACACCTTCAGGTTGTGAGTCAGTTGCAGCCATTTCTGGACCAGGAGTCTCTACTCAGTGTCACTCATGCCCTCATGACCTCCCGTTTGGACTATTGCAATGCGTTCTACATGGGGCTGCCCTTGAAGAGCATTTGGAAGCTTCAGCTAGTACAAAATGCAGCTGCCCGGGTTGTAAATAGTGTTGGCTACTCAGCACATGTAACACCACTGCTTTGGGAGCTGCACTGGTATCGGTGTGTTTCTGGGTACAATTCAAGGTGCTAGTTGTCACCTATAAAGCCCTTCATGGCTTGGGACCAGGTTACCTTAGGGACTGCCTTTTCCCAGTTGCTTCTACCCATCCAATCCCATATAGTAGGTTGGGCATGTTCCAGGTCCCATCAGCCAAGGAATGTCAGCTGGCAGGGTAGACGTGCCCTTTCTGCTGTGGTGCCAGCCCTCTGGAACATCTTCCCTCCTGAGATTAGGATGTCCCTGACCCTTTTGGCTTTTCAGAAGGCCTTGAGGGCCTGGCTTTATGCCTGGCCCTGGGGCCCCAAGTGTGTGAAGGGCCCCGTTTCATGATTGTGCTAATACTGACGGTTTTTTAAGATCTCTTGGCTGCATTTATATTTATATTTAATTTTTTGTACTGTTTTGAATGTTGACTGTTGTTATTGTTAGTCACTGGTCTGAGATGGGCAGTGTATAAATTGAATGAATGAATGAATGAACAAACAAACAAACCTGTCTGCAATGTTGCCCAACTGAATGTATAACTTGAGGTCATTCCCAAATACTGTATTATGTGTAATAGTGGAGGGATTACTGGTGTTAGCTGTTTTCATACTGTCATCTGAATGTATTAATAAGTGTCTTTATATGATTTTTCTTCAGGTTTCAAGGACAGTTTAGTACGTTTTATTACTCAGAGGATCAATTTAAGTACATAGGAAAGCTGCCTTCTACTATGTTGGACTGACTGGCAACAGCTCTCTGGGGCTTCTTAACCACTACTAAAGATAGCAAAAATTGAAGCTCAGATATTTTTATGCAAAATGTGCTCTCTATAACTGAGCTACAATCATTTTCCCTAAAGTAAGTGTAAAAGAAACCTGTCAGATGGTTTTCATATCTTTTAAGAAATGACAATGTGACAGCCAGTTGGACACATTTGCGTGTTGTAGGCACTGTTGCAAAGTGGTTGCCATGGTTGGCATGGCATAACACAAAACACCTGTTTACCAGAGAGCAAGCACATTATCTTCTCGCTCTCCAGGTTTCCTGGGCAGGCAGTCACACTTTGAAACAAAGCATTGGTTGCAATCATTCACTTTCCTTACCTCACTCAGGGCTACCTATGAAAATAAAGCTAATGCTAGAGTCCAGGCTTTGCTTTGGAGCATGTAAGGTTCCCACTTGTTTCTTTATTTTAAAAGTATAGTGAAATATGACAGAAGGCTTGGGAACACTAAAGCTTTTGTCTGCATGCTTGTTGATTCCTTTATGCAGCAGGCTGACAGTCCCTTATTTACTACATGACAAATGCCCCATTATCTTTAAATTAGTACACTAGTACAATCTTGACTATCTCAAAAAAAACTAAGCAAGGTTGAACTTGGGTGGGAGAGTACCAGGAAATCCCAGGTGAGCTAGACTGGGAATCCATATAAACAAAAAATGAAGTGATGACAATGACAAAGCATTTCTGTTAGTGTTGCCGAGAAATCTACATAGATATGTCGATAAAGTCCAAATGAGACTTTATCTTTTTATTGTGTGCTAAAAAGATAGATAGGTACAGCTTGGTATCAGTTAACAAAATATACTCTTTATTTCCACAGCACCACCCTCCTTTCCCAGACTATTGGGAAACTTTCAGTTTGGACTTGAGGTTTTCTTTCTACCTGCCTAGACTACTTCAGTCACATACCATCATAAAGATGGAAAGGGCCATTAAGAC